TCCGGATTCTCTGCTTCAGTCACTTCTATCGTCGCTCTCACTTCTCTCGTTCTCACCATTTGAAGGGTGCATGCTCTTGGGTTCGATTTCTGACTTCTTCCCCTGCCTGTGTTCGGTCTTAACTTATTAGCGTCGGCCCTTTGTCGCCTCTGCTCTGTGGCGTGTTCTCGCAAATGGAGGGCAGATTGCTGACTGTTGCAAAGAGCTCACAGTCGTGGTGCGCGCAGAGGGCCGGCATCATTTCCCGCGGCGTGGGTGGGGGAGCAATTTTTCTTCCTTTTTCACCCTCCTTATGTGCTCTCCCGTCTGACCTCGGCGTCAGAGCTTCCCCATATGATGGTGACCTATTCTACTCCATGTCGTCAGCAGAGGTGTCTTTGAGTAAGACTTTTCGGCTGTATTCTGCTATCGCGCTGGAGATACTATCGTCGCAAATTGGGCATTCTAGCACGTCGTTGGCCGGGATGGGGACGATTACGCTGTGCTCCTCCAGCGCCGGTCGCATGAGCCTGCCATTGGTGTCACGGGCGGGTCCGGCTACATATCGCCATCTTGCTGGGCGGTTCGTGAAGGTGGTAAGCTTCTGTTTAAAGAACAGGAATTTTTTGATATGGCGGCCCTATCTCTCTCCTAGCCCTTTGCTATGCAGCAGCGGCGGGTAATTTTGACGACGACACGGGCAGAACATGGCCGGAGGGGCTGGAAGGCATATGACTTCTTTGCTCTAGTCGTGAGGGGAGGGGCGGAAAGCAAAATATTGCTGGCGCTTGATCCGTATCTTACGTGTTGGACTTCAGAAACGTTTACTTCGTTTGCAATGTGCTTATGTTGTAAGTTTCGGGGCTCGCTGTCATCATGTGCTACCTAGCTGACTGTGCGTGCTACAGTGGCGGTCGCCTTGATGACTGGGAGGGGCGGCTTGTCTCTTCTGTTTCCTTGTCTAGTCCGCATGTCATGCTTTCGTGTGTGGGCCCTGGCGAGAATTCGCTTACTGGCCGGCGCATGTCTTCAGCCTGTCGTGTCATTTGATCTCTAGATTGTTGCCTTTTTTCGGGGTTTCCGTTGCTCGGTCGCAGTGGGCGGTCTTCGGATGCGTGGGCCCTTTTCACGAAATGGTCTTGGTCTGGGTCGTTCTCGCTCGAGCTTGTTCAATGTTCCCTAGAAGGTAAGTAGAGTACAGCGTCTGGCGCTAGAGTCGCTCGAGTCTCGCTTAGGCATAGCCAGGATGTATTGGCGAGGCAGCGTTGTTTTGGTAGGGCTGCTCTCATGAGGGTGTCAAACTGGTCGGATGCGTCTGCCATTGGCGAGTCAGTGGATATTTCGATATTGATCAGTATCTGGGAAGGCGTACTTCGACCTGTTATCAGACTATTGGACTATCCTCTCGCGCGTCATCAATCGTTACCCATTAATTAATAGGGCTGCTGTCCTCTGTTAGCCAGGGGTGTTTTTGGATGGGCGTGCTGTGGGTGGGCCTTCTTTTGGGCTGTTTACAAAGTCGGATTCTTAAATTGGTGACAGTGGTGGGGTCGCATGGATCGGTGCCATGACCAGGTGGTGTGATCAGAGGGTTTACATGGAGGATGGATGTGTTTTGCTGATGTAATATGCTAATATCTGAGTGGTCATCCCGTTTTATTACGTGAGTGTGTTGTAATGATCTTCCTCATCTGGCCAGAGGGGATGATTAGTATTGGCCCTACCTCTCCTTACCGGGTGGTGTTGCTGTCAGGCGGGGGACTAATACTTATTGGCGATGGGTGGAGAAGGGGTGGCGGGGTGCGCGCACTGATGTGGGGGGCAAGCGGGAGCATACGAACGGCATTTATTCTTACTCGACGTGTAGCCGCTAGCATTCGTGGATAGTGGCGCGGCACCTTCGTCTACTTGGGTTGCTGCGTGGCCGGTCCGGTCGCAGCCCGCAGGTTCCACGGCGCCTTAGGGCTCCCTGTCGTCTGTTGTCGGCTTCTCCCGGTTGTCCACGGGTGCGTGGTGGGTGGTGTTGCAGTTCTTATGGGCGGCAGAGACCTTCTTTCCTCGTAACGTCAGGGGAGTCCAGCGCGCGGTCATTACTGGCTACTTTCCGCGCACGTTTATTTCCGTGCTTGCTTCGCTGTCATCTTGAACAGACCAGTGGGGGCCGGGGGCATGGGGCCCCGTTTCCAAGGGGGCAGGTGTGACCTTTTTTCGGAGCGTGCGCTTCCTGGCTGCTCTTGTGGTCTGGCTGGGGTGCAGTGTGCATCTTATACCTCGTTCTGATACTGATAGCTCCATCAGGGGTGCCGCGTTTCTGCATTCTTTCTCTTTTCTGCTGCTGGCAGCCCATATCGAGATCGCCATCTTCTTCGACAAACTTATCCTGACGTAGCTGAAGATCGTCACTGGAGGCGTATCGCATGGATTCGTCTTTTCTCGTACGAGGCTTTCTCACGGTCCTGCTCTTTTTCTTCTTTATATAGCCTCTCAGACTTGCCTGAGGTCTTTCTTTTTGGAGGATGGCCTTCATCAGAGTCGTTTCTGGGTGCGATTTTTCCCTCAGTTGCAATCCTCAGTAGGCTTTCGGGTGTTTCTGTGTTGTTCATTGGCTGAAGTGAGGACGCACTTGCACGTGTTGAGCAGGTCTTGCTTGTGTGACAAAACGGGACAAGTGATATGAAGATTGTGGTAACACTTAACGATACGACTATGGTACAATTTGTGTTGGTGGCTTAATTGAGAGGATTGGGCCAACGCAATTTTCCAAATGCACTTTCAGGATCAGCCGACGGCAGTGTGCGGAGGCAGGACGCAGCCCTTCGTTCGCGAGATCGCGCACTTCCGTGCATCAATGTACAGACCTCCCTTGTATGTGAGGCCGATGCAGGAAGGGGGCAGCATGGGGCATTGCCTGCGCGAATTGTGAGGCTAATTGTGTGCTAAGTGGGGAACTTTGATGGTTGACGTCTCGGGCGTTAACGAGCAGAGGGTGTTGGGGCTAGTGTTGCATAGATTCATGCTAGGTTGGATACTGCGCTCATCGGTAACGTAATCTCCAGTTGGGGAGGATGGCGGCGGCGATCCTACCCGACACGAATGCCCGCGATTCTACCCTATCGATTCGGGGCTAAGGCTCGATTATATCTGCTATGTGTTTCTCTCCTTCCGGTAAAGCTAGGGGTTTCAAAACTCACCCCTGGATCGGGGGCGACTGGGACCAGCAATCTTATTGCTGTCGGATCGGTGCCTCAGTGGCTTACGCTACAATGGCAATTCTGGGCTCTATGTCAAATACCCGTCCATATGCGACGGGTGCGAGGATCCTAATTGGCCAGTACTTGTAGCAATGACAGACCACACGCATGCAATTAGTTTATTAGAAGTACTAGTAATATGCCTATGACTTAAGATGAGATTCAGTTACCGGCATCTGGGTGAAGCCCTCGCTCTCGCTCGCTTGGGCGTCTTGCCCGGGGTGGGGGTCTGAGCGTCGCTGCTAGCTGCTCCAATATGGCGGCGTTTGGAAGGGACGCTACCGCATGGCCGTAATGGCGTCTGTGGCTACATTGAACTTACACATTTCGATTTTAAAATCCATATAGTCGACATTAATAGGCCTATTTTGTTGGGGATGTCTCAAAATGTGTGTGAGAATGCCAACTATATAATTTAAATGACGTCTTTCGCTTGTGCGCCCCTTTACCTAAGCTATACTCCACTTTTGATTCCCTACTTGATTACGCAACACAACCGGGCCCTGTGCTTGTGCGCCTACGGTTCCCCACGTTTACGTTTGCCTACAATACTTGAACTAAAAGACTAATTTTTTCTATAAATATGTTATCGTAATCTATTTACATTTAGTCCAATAAGGAGTTATCTACAGGGGATCAACGCACATGGTACGACAGTAGGTTCTCAACTCGGCCTCGTTGCGGCGGTCCACACGTTGACACGGCTAAAATTTCGCATATCTCCTCACGAGCAGAGGCGCACACGCGCACACATGATCAAGCAACCGAGGGCGTCCATACACACACGCCCCTTGCACCGTCGAGCTACGCACCCGCTCTTACAATAAGAAGCTTCCAACTAATCTGCGCCCGTCACTACCATCGCCGCCGTCGGCCCCACACCGGCCGCTTCTGAAGTTTATCTCCTCATTAAAGCACCAATATACAATACAAAATAGATACAAATCAACACAAAATAGATATTAACACAAAATGCTGCCATTTTTTAGTAAATTTTGAAAATGTTTCTGCGGCATCATGTAAAGTACCCCCAAGAACCAAAATATCCGTTTGCAACTCCCAAAGCTTAACTTGCCAAAGCGTGCCACGAGAAATGCTACGATTGTTTTGAAAATTCGAGGTTGTTGTTACCATCGTAAATTGGTATGTTTCGTTACCATCGTAAAGTGGTATGTTATGAGTCGAACCTATCTCAACCTGCCGTGCTTTTCAGCCCTGGGTGAGAACTAGGGAACTCGTGTATCAAGAAAACTTGCGCGAGTAATACATACATACATACATACATACATACATACATACATGCATGCATGCATGCATGCATACAAACAAACTGACGTTTTGCCTTATTTGATTTTTCTGTTCGAAAGGCTCACAAAACAAGTATTCTGGTTACACCAAATGTTAGAAGAATTCCCCTCCCCCGTAAATTTAGCAATAAAATTTATCCACTTTCGTTACCAGGGCCCTGTAATAGCCGAAAATTCTCATTCCCCCGGGCGCTCGATTACATAACTTTCTTTTTAGGAAGTACTTCGTAAGACGAGAAAGTAGGTGAGGGTTGGTTCCAGCATTATCCATTGTAACGTATATGCGGGTTTGTTCTATTTTGCAATACGCAAGTTCGACTTTTACCTGCGCGATGCTGCCACTGATTGAAATATTGGGATTTTGTGTTATGGTTCCTTTTAGCATAACTAGTTCTATTGATTATATGTAATTAAATGATTGAAATGTCTCTTTATTTGTATGTATTACGTTGTATTGTTCTAGGTGTTCTCTGTAGTAAAGGAACAAATAACACGAGCTTTGGCTTGTCAACCTGCTAGTTTGGATAAATTCAAAACGAAGTTGCAGATTTTGACCTACTCAGAAATAACGAATCTCTGGCAGCAAGAAAGAACATCACGTGAAGAATGGGAATCTCATGCAAGGCCTATTGTTGAGCTCAAGGAACAAATAACTCCAGAGATTATGGAATTAATTCAACAACAGAGACTTGGCTTTATGGTTGAAGGAACTAGATTCACAAAATACTCTCAGAGGGGCCAGGTAATATTTTATTATATAAGATTAATAATCCCCCCTCAGATGTATATGCTAATATTCTGTATCAAATACATCTATTTAACTAATGCCAGTGTTGTGATTGTAATGCCAACGTATGTGTAGTGATTTTCAAAAGTGGTTTAATAAATTTAATATATAATTTATTCGTGCAAATAAGGATCCTAATCCATTATTAAGATTTGTTTTCACCTCCAATATGAGGTACGATTGTATAATATAATCAAACGTGATGATTCAATGATGTCGCTATCTGAGCTATGAACTTCTTGATTATTTCAGTTGCTATGTACTCCTGCAAGTTTCTTGGCGGATCTTCGGAAAAATAGCATTTTCGCAATTTAATTCTCTTTTGGGGGGATAGATATTACAGGAAATGTAACAGCATAGATCAACGGATACAATAGACACATCACAATGAACAAAACTTCTGCCAGATATGAAAATTACTCGAAGGATTTAGGACTCATTGACCAGAATGCATACATTCTTACAATTTCAAGAAATGCGAACTCTTTAAACACATAAAATAATACGTGTGCAGGCTATATACTAAGGTAAACTGTTTTTTTTTTACTTACTCTATGAATCGTTGTATGCAGAATAATATCCTATTAATACAAACAAATATTACAAACCTTGCATCGCATGTAAATTCTAATACTGTACTGATCATCAAAAAGAAAAATAATGTTTAATTTAACAATACAAAGATATATAATAAATTAATTTACATTATAATTATAATATAATTTTGCAACAATATGCTACATGCAACCAGCGAGCTCCCACAGTGTGCGCGCACGGGCGCGACGACTATGGGCGGGCGATATGCGCACAATATTATGTTTATTTATTTCTTAATTTATTTTATTTTACGTCAAAACTGTTGAATACTACGAGTTACGGGGAAGTGTGCTACGGAGAAAAGTGTAGTCTGTACACGCTTTCTAAATTCTGAGTTCCTTACCTTAACACACACACAAAACGTTGAATTTTGAATGCAGAAAAAATGAGTGTTTTGGCAAGAATTGTCAAAATATTCGCTCCAGTGTAATAAAATATTTTTAAGGGCAAATCAGCTATAGATTTGGCATCTTATCGCTCATCATGTTCTTCGTGAAGGAATTACTTCTGCCGTGTCAACATCCAGAACGATAATTTGAATAACTATATTTCCCACTGAACTGTGCACGTCTAGAAGACGTGCACAGAAAATGCAGTAACATTTATGTCCAGAAGGGACCACCGCAGCATTTGCTCAAGGGATCAGGGAAACTGGACGACAAACCTGATCGAGATAGGAGTCATTGACCAAGAAGCTAAGGTACAATACTTGTTACAGAGTGTTTAGCATTAAACAGTCCAAATGGTACATAATACATTAAATATTATTGTTAAAATTAATGTTACTTCCTTTTTGATGCTCGGTGTAGTCTCTAATTGTATACTAAAATCAGTTATGCCGTAAAAGATTTTACTTGAGAGAGACTTGTCTATCGAATTTATTCGTTTAATGTCATCTGACAAAGTGTTGTAAAATAATGTACATATATTGTATTTTAATCTTTTGTAGTGAGCTGTTGATAGTCACCTGATGAATATGATTACGACGTCGAATGTTGTAGTTAGAGATGTCCGCGTTTCTTGAAAATATATCCCCGCTCTTAAGTAAGTCGTTTTTTACAAAATCTACTGATTCGTAAATCAAGAGGCAAGGTAATGGTAAAATTCTAGATTAATAAAGAGAGGCTTTCTAGAATCATGTGGTTGGAATTTGCTTTTTCGTACAGTTTTTTTATAATCTAGAAGTCTGTGAGCTATAAGATAAATTTCTCCAAAATATTATGCCATATCTCAGGCGGGAATGAACAATCGCGATATATACACAACGCGCCGTATGAAGGCTGAATTTGAAAAATTCTGAACGCGTTGCATAATGAGCTTACTTTTGTGTTCAATTCAATTAAATTGACGTTTCGGCTCCAAAAAAAGAATAACCCCAATAAAACGTCAAAGTAAGTGCTGTTGTAGCTGTTCTGAAGACCGTGGCTGAGTCCAGTGAGGCTGCAATACGAGAATGGGAACCCCGCGACACGGCAGTTCGAGTAGTCTATACTACCAAGGGCATTGTTAAGTGGTTACGTTTCTCGCTGCAGTTTTGGATTCTTTAATTCATGTTCATGTATTTGCTTTACAACTAATTTTGTACAAAATTTTTAGTGTTGTAAAGTTAGTTTAGATATAGTTAGTTTAGATAAAGGTTAGTTTAGGTAGTTAGTTTAAATAGTTAGTTAGATTTAGGTTAGTTTAGATAAAGTTAGTTCAGATATAGTTTTTAAATGATAAAAGTCAACTGATGATCACGTGCTTGTAGGTACTGATGAGGATGTTTCCATTATGTCCTGAAAATTATTTGAAGATATGTGATTTAAAAATAAATTTCGATAATCGGAATACATATACTGTGGAGATGATGGTGGAAACCTTAATATTGAGTGTCATCATATCAAGACCTGTAAAGGGTTCATGTACCTCGGCTGCATCTTAATACCAAGTGTAAAATGTGATAGAGAAATACAACATCGAACGGTTGAAAGAACGGTGACAATTTCAGCATTAAACTCGCTTCTTTAGTTCACTAAAATGAAGTGGAAAATCATATTCAAATTTGTTGGGAATAGCGTAATAGCACATGGAGGTAAAAGTTGAGAACGAACGCAAAATAAGATAGACAAAAATGAAGATAGTAGAAATGGATATTTTCTGAAGTTACTACTACTACCACCACTAATACTACCACCACTACCACCACCACTACCCCAACTACCACTACCACTACTATTAGTACCACTAGTACTAGTATCACTAGTACCAGTACCACTAGTACCAGTATCACTAGTGTCAGTAGCACTAGTGCCAGTAGCACTAGTACAAGTAGCACTAGTACAAGTAGCACTAGTACCAGTAGCACTAGTACCAGTAGCACTAGTACCAGTAGCATTAGTACCAGTAGCACCAGTACCACTAGTACTATTACTACAAGTAATATTAATATATGGAATAAAAAATGAGGATTTTATGCATTTAAAATTCCTTTAAATTTAGCCAGTCTTTATGTTACATTTATTTTGCGAATGTGCAGCATGTTGAGATAAGGGATCAAAATCTGAGAGAAAACCTACTACACAGTAGTTAATAAACTTTTAGATTACAGTAAAATTGTACAGAAAATAATCGAAGCCTATCAACGTGATTTCTTCAAGCATCTCTTTATTGAGCGTGGTGTACTAATTTCCACAGAATAGATACTATTCAAAAAGGAAAGCTACCCACAATCCGTGCGCCGATGTGATACGCATGGTCGCCATATTGAAAGTGTGTAAACTGCTGTACGACGCAACATGGTGTGTAGTAAAAATGTCTTAATTTCCGTTTTACGCGTTATATTTCATCTGCGTATAACCAGCAAAAACATACGTTACCGCAAGGGACATTAGATTGATATAGGCAAATATTAATATCGCACATAATATTAACTAAAAATTGGGATAAAAAGTAAAGTATTATAAATACATAACTAGTAATATAATACATAACTACGGAGTGGCACAGTCTTTCTCATATTGGTTTTCTATTTTCTTTGGTCTGCCAAATTATCAAACTTGCCACTTACTCTAGGGAGCTGCCATCCATCTCCGCCCAAAGTACATTTTTTAAAATTTTCCCAATTCTTTGTTTTCCTAACTGTAGAACTGAATTATTACTTTAAGAATATTAAAGAAGAGTAAAACCTCGTTCTAAATGACATTTTTCATTGAATAATTTGGAGTCGTTTTTAAGAAAATATCCCTTAAACATTACTAAAAATCTGAAATTGAAGCTCTTTTAAGAGAAAATTTGCGAATTTTTGTGAAAACTTTATTTGAAGTTATTTAAACACTTTAACTCACAAATTCAATAGTGTTTACAAATCGCTGAAAATGTGCATATTAACGGCGTGAGAAATATTTAAAAAATACATTTGTGTAATGTGTGAAAAAAAAATTCTCCCCTAATAAAATTTATGTCAATAAACAGAACAATTAGCACGACCCGTTGGAAAAGTTAGAAGACAGAATTAAGAGCAGTTTTTGAGAAAATGGCGTTTGAATTGATTCTTGCGGTTTCTTTCCACTGTTTCAAGATTGCGGTCCGGGCTGCGCCGAGGATCATTGAAGATTAAAGGAACCGCCCTCTACTTTCCTTTCTGTGTAGAATCTATTCTGTGATACTTCCTTTGCCTATCCTCTTCATTTACGAATTAGTGTTTGTGAAAACTTACTCTTTGGATCTAATACATATATCTGTAATAATAAACACAATGTTATAGTAATTAGGTGTTAGTATCAACAGCTCACTACAAAAAGTCCAAATGTACTATGGTATGTGTATTATATTAGATTACGTAGCAACATTAGCACGCATGAAAAACTATTAAAATTCATTCACACGTTTAATATGCCGTGTAAAATATTTTCTGCTGCGTAACTTGCATCAATAGTCTACACTGACAATTAAAAACAAAAATAATTTTAATATTAATAATGTGTGTAATCAATGACGCATCCGAGAAGGGTGTCTTAAGGACCATCAGCTTCCTCCTGAAGCCGATGACATTACACTTGGTCTCTTCGTTGAAAATCCCTTTTGCGCCACTTACATGGAATGTACTTGTTACCTGCGTATATATTCATGAGTTGTTTTTAGTTAATGCGAGGAGTGAGGACGTAGTTCATTTCGTCAGTACTATCAAATAAAATCTGTTTCTATCAAATAAAATCTGTAAAATGCGTTTTTCTTGCACCTGAGGAATATTGTTATGAAACTTACTTGAAAACATTCGTCACTATCTGTATTAATAGTTATTAAACGATATATACTAAAAGAAATTCCAAGAAAAATAGATTCCCGAACTCAAAAGGCTCACCTCGGCTGGGGCGATG